ATGCGCCCGACTGGGGGGGCGAGCCAGGAAGCGCATTGGCCACAACCAAGGAAACGAGCCCGATCGCGAGCCCAGCGCCAGCCGCGGGCGAAGACGAAGATGCAGACCTCTTCGATCCCCTAGGCGCTTTCAAGGACGCGCCCCCAAGTGGCAAGGCCTGGGCCCCCTATTCGCAGACCGTCGACCGGGTAGCCGCCCTGGCGCTTCGGAGTGCCAAAGACAGCTCCGAAAGGGGAAGCGGATCCTGGGATTGCGCGGGGGCCAGGGACGACCGCGCCCCCAATCGCACTGCACGGGGCCGGGGACGCGACCGCCCCGCCTCGGAAGACACTGAAGACGGAAGAGGGCGTGCCGCCAAATCACCAAGGGGTAACCCAATCCGCGCGGAGATCCGCGGGGCTCCCTGGAGGGGCGGCAGGGGTGCTCAGCCATTTTACGAGAACCTTAACGACCCCATGGGTTGCGGCCCCATGTACACATGCACTATTGCAGCTGCGGGCGTGGAAAGGAGCGAACCCATGCAGGACAATATTACGCGCTTGCAAAAGACGTTGGGAGGCGCTTTCAATGGCATCTGGCACGCGTGGGTTAAATGGGCTGCCCTGAGTCAGGACCCCAAGGGAGGCTACAAGAGCGACCCCAAGCTGAACACACCCCAGACGTGCGCGGATTTCCTCGAGGCATGGGACAACGCCGGCCATGATGCATATCGGATGGACCGAGATCTCAGGCTCGGCGTGAACTGGGCTGCACTTAGGGACAAGCACATGAACTCCGTGCGGCATGACGCTCACGCACGCGCCTTGCGCGACTACGGCAGCCGCGACAAGCCTGCCCCATGGGCAGCCGAGAGCCGAGCTGTCGCGCCTGCGGCTGCACAGGACCCTTGGCCTGGAGCCATCGGTACTGCCACCCCCAACCAGTGGCAGGGCTGGCAAGAATGGACCTCGTGGGATCGACGAGACACCCCATGGACGGACTCAGACTGGAAAGGCAGGGGCAAACGATACCCCCCTAGAGGGGGGGCGACCGCTACTCGGACAAGCGCGCCCGCTGGCGGGCTAAGAGTGACTCCAACACCCAAGGCTGACGTGTTCCCGACACGGCCTACCTCAACGTCCTTGGTAACGACTTGCCCAAGGAAGCCCGCCCCCCTTCCTCCAGGCACCCGTTGCCCCGAAGGGGCTCGTTTCACCTCGCTGCGCCCGGCTCGGGATGCCCGGGGCCGCCCTCCGCTGAGGCGAAGGCTACCCCGCCCGCATCTCACCCACGGCGCGGCCTAGCTAGACAGCCCACACTGGATAAGTGGACCACCATCTTCCTTTTCGGGGCTGACGCGGAGGGGCGCCCCCACCAGCACCCGACATTTCACCCTATCTGGCACGGCGGGGCCAGCCTGGCTCGCGCAGGCAGGCCTCCCGGGCTCATAGACTTCGCTGTCCGACGACGACAGCCGGCCCGCGCGCCAGGGGCCGGGGGTGGGCCACAGCATCCCCCCCCCGCCTGCCTGGCGGCGAGCTCGACCCAGCCAGGTCACAGTTTTGTCAACTACAGACTTTTGCGGCGGTTAGCTGCGACCCTGGAGGACCAACACCCACCATCCCCGTAGATACGCCAGTCTCCGCGTTGGCAGACCAGCATTCAGCATGGCAGGAGGTGCACTCTGGACCCCCCATCACACGGCATCAACACCGTTCGAAGGGCCCATCAGTCGATACTAGCTGCTCTTGAGCGGCGGTTAGCTGCGACCCTGGAGGACCCACGAGAATGGCCATGTCCCCTGACCCACGGGTCCGGGGCCCGGCCCAGGGCCCGGTCGAGGGGCGGGGCGTTGCTTCCCCTCGCCTCCCCCCTCTCGGGCCAGGCGGGCGCCCCCCGCCCTTGGCCCCTGGTCTCGCCAGGCGCGCCGACGGACGCCGTTGGTATTGGCCCCCTTCCCCAGGGCCGCCCTTGTCCCAAGGCTCCCATAGGCTCCCCACCTTTAGCGGCGGTTAGCTGCGACCCTGGAGGCCCACGTAGTGCGCGTTGGTGGACGACCCCGAGTCTTGCGGGGAAGTGCGGAAGCAGCGGGCAGGGTCGGGCCATGGTGACCGTCGGCACTCGCGCCTGCTTCAGCGCAGCTTCCCTCAGGTCGCCTCACCCAATGGCAACGTTACACACTTGCTTGTACATACGCCACACGTGCCCCGGGAGGTACAGCCAGCTCGGTATACTTGAGGATATGCTTGTCCCTGGTTCAGTTTGGCGTACTTCAGGCGGCAGCACCACCAGTGCAGCACCCCCCTACACTCCTCTGCCTCGCTGGCGATGCTCACCACGCCGGCTGGCCTTCCCCCTCGCCCTGGGATTGGCGCCGTACCGCTACGCACTGCTTGGCTCGCAGTCGTTCGGCTTCCCCCCCGCACTGTTGGGTGGGCTGGCGGGCGTCGAAATCGCCGCGGAGTGGTTCAGCCCTTCGCAGCAGCTGCAGCACCCCAGGCTCACCTACCAGCCTCCGGCAGGCTGCGTTGCACCACGTTCCGCGACAGCTCAGCCCCCCTGGCTAGCCCACGGCGTCTAGGGCGGTTG